AAAGTAGACTGGAATTGTTCCTCTCTTCTTTGGGTCTGCAGAGGATCCTTTATCAGCAAAGCCAATGCAGCCCTACTTTGCAAACACCAGAGAATAAGGAAGAGGAGAATGAACATTGGGGGTACAGATATCTCCCCACCACTGCATGAAGCTGGACCCCAGTTCCACAGATGTTTTCCACCCTTCATAGGGCAGGGAAGGGTTTGTAGTAGAGGGGCACAAGCAGGCAGAGTGTTTACTCTCTCATAACCAGAGTCTGTCTCATTCAGAAAGATGCCTTTCTGATTCCTTGCTCTGCTAATGAGTCCTCATTAATGAAGTTGAAGAAATTGGACTTACCCTTTCATCCCTCTAGGAGTCAGTTTCTCCATGTGTGAAATGGGGAAGGTAAACAGCCTTGCAAGGGCTGTTTTTTAGGAATAGGAAATGGCAGATATGGGACTAGAAACAAACTTCCTAGGTTCTTAAACCCAATCTGCTCTCATCCAGATCTTCAGATCTGCAACCCCCTTCTTTATTTTCATCAGGCAGCATGTGAAGGAACTAGGAATCTCCATGTTTCTTCCCACTGGGAAGCCACTCAAGAATCCTGTTGCTGTGATGGCTAAAAAGCTTCATTTATTTCCCAGACTGAATTTATTCATAGACAATTAATACCCATTTGTTCTTGTGCCAAAATATTCTTTTATCTTTAATAAGTAGTCTGTCTAGCTCTGTGAAAGCTATATACTTGATTGCTACAGAATCCGGGAGGTTCCTCTTCCACAAGCTGTAAGAAGAAGTGTTAATAACAGAACATACTGTAATACCCCATGCAAATTTTGCAGGAGCCCATCCAGGTGTGTGCAAGTATCTATGTACTTACTGATTTCAAAACTATTTCCACTACCAGCTTTCCCAGCTGCCAGAAAGGTTTTCCCACCTTTTAAAAACAAAGGGGAGGCAACAAGCTACAGTTTAGCATTTTCTGGAAAACTGTTTCCCAAATAGTATAAGATGCAACATCTCTTGCTCTCCAAAACCCACCAGTTACCAAGAAGCATCTCAATTACAGAGATAAGAAATAAGATCCTGCATATTTGTTTGAACACCAAGCATTTTGGAACTGAGATTTTGCTTCTTTTTAGACACAGGTATCCTTTTGTATGTGCACCATTTATATCTGCAAAACCTAGTGATCAAAATGTCAGAACTAAAGTTAACCATAAAACCTTATTCATCTGCATTATGATTCACCCTTTAAATATAGGATTATGTCTTGTTTTCCACCAGATTCTACCTCAGGATGGACAGTGCTCCCTTAATAAGCAGATATTCAATATTTTGTTACAGTGTCATTATTCAGCATGTGGCTTGAAGCCTTATTTACCACATTCTATTCAAAACCTGCTTGGAAGACACAATTGCTAATTTTCTTGTGCATTTTTCTAAGGCTCTTATCAGTATGGCATATGAGTGCTTCACAACGTTTATTTCTTCTAACAACACCCTGTAAGAGGAGAGGATATTATTCCTGTTTAACAGATGGGAAACTGAAACACAAAGAGATGCAGGTCAAAACATTCTGCTAACGTTGGGTACCCAAACTGAGATGTCTGGGAACTGATTTCTCAGAACGTTTAACATTGTGCAGCATCATATGTCAGAAGAAATACCACTGACAAAGTATTCTGCAACTGGGAACACAGGAAAAAAAAAAATTAATAGCCAGTTTGGAATAACTTAGTTTAAATCCACTTCTCTAAGGCTGGATGAGAGTTTTGCCATGTTCAGATGCCTTAGCCATGAGATCCCCCATTTTCTTCTCAATCCTCTGCCACTTACTACAGTTCTCCCAGATTCCATACCAAAGTCCATCAGACACTGGCGTCCTCTACCCAGCCATGACTCATCTCCTAAGCTGCTCCACCTTCTGAACCAAATGAGACCAGGGTCCTCCACTAAATGTAGTACCTGGTCATGTAATTAAAGACTATACCAAACACATGTACAAAAGGAAGGCAAATAAACACTATGCAGGAAACCTTAATTTCATGAATTCCTGACACACTTTTCTAAATAATGAGCTTTTCAGGGAGAACACTGTCTCCATTATATATACATGTATATATATAAATATTTTTATATAACCCAAATATATAAGATAAATGTAATATATAGCATTAAAATGTTATAAGTGTAATAATATAGATTTATATACATTTATATTCTTGCTCCTGAGTCGTATCAGCTGAAATTTTCCAAAAACTTGAAAAAGCACTTGGCATGGAATACTAAGCCCAAGCAATTAAAGTTTCCAAGCTTTAGAGATGATCAAAATCTACTGATAGGTTTCAGTTCAGCATTTTGCCTTTGTCTTTCTGTTTCAGTGAATCAGGATATACGTGCTTGCGTGAATCAGGACCACTTCTATTTCGCAATGTTCACTGCTGAAGGAATACATAGAAGCAGCACTCCAAATTTCCAGTATGCAGGAAATTCAGTTTTTTCATAATTTCATTTCATTCTGAATTGGAAGAACACCCTTGCCTCAAACTTTCAAATTCCCCTTGAAATTTTATTTGTGCTGGGTTTAAATTGTTCTAAATAAATCAACTGAAGCTGATACCAACATGGGAAATTTCAATGTGAATGTTCAGAGTTTGACAGAGTTACAAGGAAATAAAGAAGCCCAGAAAGTTTCAAGCAATCCTAGTTAGAGGTACCTCACTAGCTATTTCTAAAATACCACTGTAGTAGAATATAAATTTTGTAATAAAAATCTTATTAAATGTGCTATGTGTTATTTTCAGTGCAGTGATACCAGGAAAGGTATTCTCATTTTCCAGGTACTTTTACTGCCTCTCCCACTTAGACCTAGCAGAGCGAGGAGTGGAGCCCTGTTCTCTCCTCACCCACAGGCCTCATTTCATACATTTGCGAAAAAAGACCCAACTCCGAACCCTTTTAATCTAAAGGAACCACCACTAACCCGTGAAACAGGGAGCAGCAGTTCTGGGTTTCCCGTACAGGCACAGCAGCGGGAGGCAGAGCCGTGCCGAGCCGGCGCTCCCGCAGCTCCCGGCACAGGTAACAGCACTTGTGGGCAGGCACAGGGCACTGTTAAGAGGTGAAACCTGGGTTTGGGCTAACCAGGCATTAAACGCCATGGAAAGCTGGGCTGTTTCACAGATTAATATTTTTCCTTGTGTGTCTTCTTATCAAGGGGACAAGTAGAGTGCAAAACGTAATTTGACTCAGATGCCTTTGAAGGATACCCTGGGGCTTGCTGTGAACCTGGGCTTCTCCTAGCTCACAAAAGATCAGTCAGAAGAACTGCATGAGAACTCTTCGATCAAAAAACTTGTGTGTCAGGATCTTCTATTTTGAAGGGAGGTGAGAAATCGGAATTGAATACTCAGCTGAGAACGGCTCTTTCCATAATGCTCAGGCAGTGGAAAACGCTCAGCCCCGCAGCTGCCAGCAGCCAGCGAGGAATTCCCCTGTCATGAGGGCCATGACTCACGCGTGCCCCTGCTGCTTCCCTCCCTCAGATGTAGGGGCCATACTCGTGGTCTGGGCTGTGTCAGGAGAAAGGACCTGGCAGAGCTCGCCTCTGTTACACAACCTCTCCGTTCCTGCCCAGAGGCACGGTCCACCTCGGGCAGGGAGCCGCTGCAGGTGACACGAGCTAAGAGATCATTTTGCAGCTGATCTCCCTTCATTTTCCCTCTTCCTCTGCTCCTCCGGAATAATCAGAGTAACTCAGTCAGCTGCCAAGCAATCACGATACTGTTATAAAAGTCAATGGGGTTTTTAGCATCGGTTTCAGCAAGTGCAAGATGAGGCTCCACACACAGCAGCGCTGAAACAGGTATTGAGGTCCCTCATCAGTTTTGCTCAATAAATTAACAACAGAGCTGCTGCCACAGCAGTAAGAGCAGTTTGCAACATTTGTATTTCTGCTTTGGGTATTTATTACTGTGTTTTTCACAACCCCTTTTAATGCCTCCAGGAGTAATTTATGGGGACAGAATAACACGAAAAAAGCAGATCCCACTTATTTAAATCTCTGGATGATGAAAATCGCATGAGAAGAGCAGGTTTCACATTGTTACCTCTCCATAAATGGCTTTCTGAGGCAGTAAAAGCCATGAAAAAGCAAACATAAACACTGTACAAACACCAAGATATTCAGGTTCGTTTGGGCTTACCCAAACACTGCATGTAGATTTTCAGGTTTATTCAGATTTGGGCTCTGTTTTGTTAACTCAATCCATTAAAAAGTTGCAGGTTTTAGTTATTGTTAATATAACTAACTAGATATATATACTAACATTTCTTTTAACTAATTTTACTACAGGAGAGGATTACTTTATAAAAACAGTTCTTAGTATTAATCTTGTTACTTTTCAGATTGATGAGTAATGTGTGTGACTGTGGTGGTTCTTTTTTTTTCCTTTTTTTGGCAGCTCTAAACTGCTCCTGCTCTAGAGCATGAAGCAGACTGATCTGGACACACAGGATGGTCCAAGTTTCCAGCAACTGACATGCTGGTTATTTATTTTATAAAAGAGGCAAATTAGTGAAGCATGACTAACAAACTTTTTGATCCACTGAACACTAATCTGTGCAGTCACATTAAGAATCATAACCTTTTAGTGCTAAAAGTAACAGCAGTGACCTGGGACAGGTCACCAAGTTTCCTTCCCAGGGTTGGGCGGTGTAGTTTTGGAGGTATCTGTCACACACAAAAGCTTTACATTGTTTGAAGTGTGACATGACATTTCTGAAATAAGGAGCATTTGCCTATAGAAGGCAAATGAAAGAGATTTCTTTGCCCTGTCTTTTCTCATTAATTGATAGTCTGACTCCCTAACTTCCATTTAAAGCCATAGACCATAAGATACAATGTTTGTCTACTTCAGTTCTACTATATTTCATGTTTTGCCTCATGAGATTAAATTTATTACAGTGATGGATGTAATATAAGAGTATATTTTAAACAACCACGACTGTACCTGCTTGGCTGCTCATTTTTCATGGAGTCATTCCAGGAATCATTTAAAAGTCAGAAGACTGCCCCAGAATTTGTTTGAATAATTCAGGCTTCGTGATTCTGCAAGACAGGATAGAAAGTTAACCTGAGACGTTTCTTCTGCTGCTATTAAGACCAAAATGCCATAAAAGCAGACGGATCCTTTAACACACTGTTTTCATACAGGGTCATGGAGAGAAATTTTAATCTAGACCTTCATCCAGCAAAAAACCCTGCACACATGCTCAGCTTCCTTTACTGTTACCTCTGTATAATCAGAGGAAATAATTCACTGCAAATAAAGCTGCAAACATGTTCAAATCTTTGCAAAATCACAGCCACCACAGACCTGAGCTTTGGAAAGTTGCAGGATTATTCATAATTTCACCAGCCTGATTCAGCAGAAGGAACGTGGAACCATTGCGAGTCACGTTTAAAGCTGTTTAGGGGTACTGGGAAAAGTTGTGTCCCCTGAAGAAAATGTAGCTTTCTCTCAGCTTCCCTTTCCTGGATTTAAGGAGAATTAAACCTTTCTGAAACTTGCTGGGAAAAGAGGGGGCAGGGGGATAAAGAAGGACAATTTATCTCTAAATTACATTGCTCTTCAGAGTAAACCGCAGAGAGCTGTAATGGGACAAGTCATTTTTTTACATGGTATAATTAATTAGAACCCATAAAACCCAATTAAACAGCACTTTTGAGACTATCAAGTGGTGCATGTTTGAAACTGCAAATATGACAGTATAAGTACATTTTTATAGCTGGGCACACTCCTCAGGATTATTTTCAGTGCTCTACTAAAATGGGAAATGGCACCAGTTTGGCCCCTGCTAGTAAATCTTTGGGAAACAGGCTATATTAATAATCTTTATGGGGGTAGGATGGAAGCCAGATGGGGCAGGGAGGGGAGTGTGAAGGTGGCATAATATATCGGCCTGGAAAACATAATCCAGGCCAAAGCAGAAATTTAATCTTGGTGTGTATTGGAGAGGGCTGGGAATACATAAAAGGAGAGGTGGTGGGCTGAAAGGGGACTCACCCTGAGAGACCAGGGAGAGTATTTCCGAGGTAAGGAATATAATATCCTACAGGGTAAGCAATGGTCCATCTGCACGAGAAAGGAAGTACAGAAAAGAGAAATGCAGATTGAACAGCCTCTAGCAAGGCAGGGCCTTGTCCACGTTGCCCATAAATGAGAAATGGTGCTGGGGAACTCCCCTCAGCCTTGCGTTTCACAGTTGTAACATCCCATCTTGCCTTACTGCCCTAGGAGGGGGTCGCTGCATGTGCGTGCATGCGATGGGCTCGATGCATGTGTACGAGCTTGATATACAATCTAGTGCGAGTAAAAGCTCACTTTGCCCTTGTTTATTTACACGAGGCCCCATTTATGTTTAACTTGGCAGCCAAGAGGTCTGCGCCTTGTGCCAAGCACTAATTCCTTGACTGCCCTGACAGGCCCTGGCGTGCACACCTGAAAGTCATTAGCGCTCGGACCCATTTTGTTCTCACATTTCGAGGCAGTGACCCGCAGCCATGTACAGCTTCAGCAGACACTTTATCATCTCCCCTGTCATCGGCTTCAAGCTCGGCAGCCCGGGCACTGCCAGACCACAACAAGTAAGGAACTAATGAGGGCTCAGGAGAAGCCTCTATCTTAGCAAGCGGCTCCCCTCCTCTGCACAGAGGGCAACTGATACTCAGCGGAGGTCTTCTTTCTTCTTGAATTATGAGTTTGTTTGGGTTTGGAATATTTTATCCTTCAGAAAATAGCAATGCAGTGTGATAAGTAAACAACCCATGACAGCTGAGCTTCGGTGACAGTACCAGACAGATTAAATTCTAACAGCCCCATTCAACTGTACAATGCTCCTTGTGCAAGCTGCTCCCAAAAAGGGTAGTTTTATCTGATCAGTCATTCAGAAAATTCCTCCAGAGTCACCTATCAACACAGGAAGAATATTTAATCTAGAAATGCTAAAAAAATATACTTTCAGATGAGATTTGGAAAGAGAAACGCAGTCTGGATAGAAAGTGTTGCAGTGAAGACTTGCACCATCAACAGGAAGAATATAGGGAGAACTTAAGAGTATAAAAGAGATAAGAGCTTTCTGCAGAAATGCTATTACCCTATATGTTACACTCTCTGAGGGTTTTCAGAGCGCCATCACATTCTTTATTACACGTAGAGAGGCTATTCATCTCTTAGTTTCTAAGAATCCATTTACTAAATTACAGAATCTTATAAATATTTGCATTTCATAAGTCTTATGCCATTTCACCATCACTGAGACCCTTAAACTTTCTCCCCTACATAAACTATTTTAAGATCTCAGTCTCCTTAGCAGCTCTAAATACTGTCATTTTAGTTTGCTAGAGACATTTCTTTTCCTTCTATTCTCTCCACGTTTAATTTTCTCTATTTAAAATCAATAGGGACAGAGACTCTGACAAGCTACCAGCCAGTCCTAGACCACAAACAGGTTTTGGACTAAGTTCTCATGACCTTGAAAAGGAAGGCATGGGAGACTTAAACCACTGGAGACCTCCAGATTTCCATGAGGGAGACAGCATTACCTTTTTTTCTATGGCAGTTTCAAGGCTATGCACTTTGCAGTCATCGCTTACTAAACATTTACTTTAAAAACAAAACAAAACAAAACAAGAAGTCCAAATAAACAAAAATTCATTTTGGATTCTTCTTGGAGGTTTTTTTTCATGACTGTTCTGAGCCCTGCACTGTTGAACATGTGGTAATTTAGCACAAGACCTTACAGTCAGAATACAACCGTGGACCTAATAAAATGTTTATACATGCTTTCAAACATTACAAAAGCTGTATTTTCTTTGAAATTTATTAAGTATATGCTGATATTGACATTTTTTCATAAGTATTTAGTTCACATGTGACTTCTCTACAAGCCTTGTACTTCAGGCTCCTAATTTCTTTTCTCTTTAAACTGTTGGGCTTTTGAACATTCTTCATTCTTGCAGCATCCCAGTAAGAATAGCTAGGGCAATACTACCCATTTGAAAGACAAGGCACTGGTACACAAGGTCTTAATGGTTAGAAATTAAAATGGACCTGAACGTGTAAAAGCTGGGATGATTTAATGTAAAATATATGAGGTTCTTGCTCCAAGAGCCTATAATACAAGTTTCCTTCCAAGAGATTTTCTTTTTCTTAATCCAAAAAAGAAAGGGGTGCTCTGCATTGTACACAGCATACCAAGATGAACCTTCCTCCCCAGTTTAAGCAATGTACACGGTGATAATAATCTGCCTGGGCACTGCAGAACTGGACAGTTAGTAGAGATTCATGCAGCCACATACAGGGTCATCACATAGTGAAGCAAGGGCAGAAAATTTATTTTAATCTTAAATTCTGGTTTAGATGTTTCAAGAAAGCAGCAAATTTTAAGGGAACTGGAAAGTTGGGACTGCAGCAGACTGGTGGTTTAGTTAGTTAGGAGGTAGAGACACAGAGAATATCAGCAGCCATCAACAGGATGGCAAATGCCATTTGTATAGACATGCGTCATTCTTGTACTGCAGCCAAGTGAAACTACAAACACTATTAAAAGTATAAAGAGGCTTTAATTTACATTTCTGCTAAGGCATCTTTATGTTGCCAGAATATTGCAAGTGGGCTTAGTATAAATGAGAATCTGGCCTTAATATTCTCAGGCAGAAAAGTGAAATACACAGACATATTGACTTGGGTTCGTATTCTCTCTTCTGGTAACCCAAGGTATCTGTACTGGCCAAAGATGGAAGAAAGAATAAGAATCATCATGTACCCACATTGCATAGCAGCTTCAATGAGCACAAATGATCAAAAGAATCATTTAACGTAACAGCAAAAATGGCCCTATACAGCATCACATCCCCCAATGCCATGACAACATACAGCCAGAAGCACTGCCTAGATCATCTCACCCCTGCCATGACAACAGTCATGATGCTAAACTCAGAACTTCAACTCCAAAATCCACCTAAACACAAGTCATCTAGGATCTTCCAATATCTTATACAAAATTCAGACTTTTAGCACAGAAGACTAATAAGTCTTAAGTACCACAAGTGCCTTGGAAGAAAGCTGTGTCCTTCACTAGGAAGAGGCATAACAATAAAGAAAATTGCAGTGATCCCCACCAGTGTGACTGGGGGCAATTCACACCAGCCAGAAGCCTGAGGAGCTTCTCACTACCACCAGAGGCATCTATGCCCCCTGCCCATTAGCCCATTTCTAGCTGTGGCAAATTCCAGATGCTTCAGAGGAAGATGGAAGAACAAACAAACCCAGAGGCCAAGTTATGTATGAGAAGGGGGTAAACCCAAACAAAAATCTCCTCTCATGTCCATGAGGAAGCCCTTGATCAAAGGGATGAGACATGGGGTTCAGAGCAAACTGTGAAGAGAGTTTTCCATCAAAAAGAAAAAATCATCATATAAAAGACAGGCGAGAGAAAAGGTAACTCCAAACACATGTAAGCAAAATGGGTAAAATTCTGAGGCCTCTGAAATAAATAACAAAACTTTCAAACTTTATTTGGGCCAAGATTTTGAGTTCAACATTTTAAGTAGTTTCCTACATGTATTTCGAAATAAGAGATCTGTAGCTCTTGAAATGTCTTCTTGGGATGTGTTAATTTTGGTAGGAAAATGAAAGGTGCTAATTTGTCCCTGTCACTGTATAATATTAAACAGTTAAATGTGGTCTGAGTTTGGAAACAGTATATGGCAGACATCCTTAAAAAATTCACTCAAAATGTACTGAAAGAATAATCTTTTCCAAATCTGTCAACAAGATCCTAGCCACTGTTCCTGGCAAGAAAACTAGCTTAATTTGGTAAAACAATCACTTTTGCTCTCACAAACACTGTAAAACAAATGGGGTCATGGAAAGAAAAACGGGAACATTAAAAAGACCCTTGATAGATACTCAGTAGCGTGCTGCTTTGTTACCGTGGGATATTTCCAAGGAACTGCACAGATTTTAAAAGTACAAGGGAACACAGAGGGTGGGAGGGAGATTAGACTGCAAGCAAGGGCTGAGGCACTGCAAATTCAA